TACTCGACACATGCACGTAACAATCTTTACGCACCAATGTGATCTCATTCTACTGGACCAGAGTTTATCTTTCTGGTAGTACTCGACACATGCGCAACAATCCTTACGCACCAAGGTGATCTCATTCTACTGGACCAAGGTTTATCTTTCTGGTAGTACTCGACACATGCACGTAACAATCTTTACGCACCAATGTGATGTCATTTTACTGGACCAGAGTTTATCTTTCTGGTAGTACTCGACACGCGCAACAATCCTTACGCACCAATGTGATCTCATTCTACTGGATCAAAGTTTATCTTTCTGGTAGTGTTCGACACACGCGCAACAATCTCTAAGACATAGCTCAAAAATACATGGATAATATGATCCTTGTTTTTATGCTCGAACATTATTAAATTAATTATATATTAAAATATTTCTTCATCGTTGATGATTTTAAAGCCCTGAATTGTTACATACCAGCGTARTGTCCCTGACCTCTTCTTCTCTGAGCGCTTCTGCTCGTCTACCAAGTCTGAACTTCGGGTTTAACGACATTCCTCTCGCAATCATGAGCCAATCAAGAAAACGATATGGAAACTGCAGCAGTTGATAGTCATTGCAGCGAGTACGCGGATTCAAATCATCTAGAAAACAAATGAACTGCATGAAAACCATAGGTTAATGACTCTAGCATCGAGCGCTTAAATGCAACCAACGGCACCATTTATAGATGGTGGCCATGGTGAATCAAATGCATCCCATTTCCATTCTTTTCCTTTTTTATGAAGGAATACCTCTCTGAGAATACCAGAAGCAGGTAAAGTTTTTTAATGCATGTTTAAAATTTATGCGGGAACAAGCATGTTTTAGATTTCAAGGGCGCTATTTATAGTGGGTGGCAGAACAAGTGCGTCCTCTTTTCTTTCCTGTCCTATTAAGAAATACCCGTCTATGCCAGGAATAGAATCTCTGAAAACCTTCACTTTTTCAGAGAAAGTTCAAATTTTATGCGAGAACCTGCATGTTTTAAATCCCCACTAGAAACTTGAACTTTTAAAAAGGGCACTCAGTATTTGCTTTAAGGGTGAACCCCTCAAAATCCGAGACACTCCTGTTGTTTGATTAAACGTCTCCGCAACCGAGAATATTTCTTTTAAACTTTTCAGTGTTCGCACGCATCTTAGACGTATTCTCACCTTCCGTACACAAGCCCCTGTGCTTGACGGCAATGCTGACACCCAGAGCACACGCAAACTTGTGTAGCTCACACATGTTGTCAAACTCTTTTCCATACACTGAACAAACTGGTTCAACAGTGACAGGACATTCTTCTGGGCACTGACAGATTGTTCCTCCACCAGTCTGTTCCACGCACATGCGACCATAAGGGCAAAAAGTGTTTTCACAGGTACTTATTTGTTGACTGCTAACACTCTGAAAGGCCAAGGACAGTATGAATCCCGTTAGTATTTTCCGTTTTCCCAACCCTTTTTTCATGTTTATGCATTTTTTCATTAGAAAATAAAGGCGCTATCAACGTATTTATAATGATAGTATTTTACAAAAAGTTTTTGTTTTCATATGAATTTTCAATTATATTATTCAGCGAGATATTTTTTTTATCCAGTTATGGAACAATATTGAATTTATCAAGAAAGTATCGAATTAGTGATTTAGGAGACCGCTGACTCAGAGAGGTTCGACAACAACTTTGTCACCTCTCAATATGACGAAGAAGAGCTAAATAAAGAGCATATAATATATGGTCGCTTTAGAAAGGTGCGGTCGAATTTCTCAAAAGTATCGATTGGTCGCCTCGTGTTCGTTCAAAAGAGGCTCGACCGCATCTGTAGAAGAGAGTATCTGTGTCCGCTTTACAGAGGTGCATTCCCTTCCTTATAGTTAGTTCAAGAGAGGTTCAACTACATCTGTATGGTTAGTGATAAGATCACTTTAGAGGTACGTTCGAATCTTTAGAGGTATCTGTGTCCGCTTTACAGAGGTGCATTCGCTTCCTTATAGTTAGTTCAAG